TTTTCCATCGCTTTTGTGTTACAAATATCAAAACAATAACAACATATATCCGTCGTAAACTAAACCAGAAACAGCAATATATTTTATTTTGTTAACACTTTAAACTTGACAGTTTTTTAACCCGCACCTCCTACTGGTTAAAGCACGTTATTACACGTTTGGAGTAATTGCAATGCAGGAAGATTATGTTGCTTTTTAATGACTGTTTAAAATGCATTTTTCTTAATGTCTTTCATTTTTGTAAAGCACTTTTGAATGTGTTATATTTGATGAAAACATTTAAATATTAAGAGTATATACAAAATAGTGGGAAAGTAGAAGGTCAATGATATAAATATAGAATAGAAAATATCAAGAAGATACTGTAAATAATATCTACAACAAAACAGTTTAGTGCCTGATAGGAGGATGTGCAAAACAGACAAACTAATAAGGCTTTATTTAAACATTAAAGAATACTTTAGGCTAAGGTCTTCTTTTAAATAAGAAAAAAGCTTTGGGGGTATCTATCTACAGATACTTATTAAGCCTGACAAAGTGCTTAACGTCTAATATATTGCATGGTTTGTTTTGGAACTTGACAATCAACTTTCCTGCAATGTTAACTATGTTGAAGCATTTATTTTAACTGATATTATACACATTAATTATACTCTTATGTAGATAGTATAAGAAATGTGCAGAATATGACAGTTTAATGGTGGAGGTACACACATATTGATAGATGTCTTGTAATGCACTGTTGAGGAACCTGTGACCCAAGTTTTTCATTCATTGCATAACTACCCCATAGTTGTGTATATGATATGTCAATAAACCTTTGAAAATCTTGAAATCTTGAAAGGGATGTGCAAAATAGCCATAATATACAGTCTTTAATGAACGATTAGAGAATAACGAGTAATGAATATGCTTTATACGGATCTGCAGATAAATGTTTAGTCTTCTCGAGCACCAACTATCAAATATCTCTCCTGATTGTTGGCACTTGACAATCACCTTCACTGAATTTTACTCAGGTGTAACTAAAGTCTGATTTAAGGGTTGTTTATATTTCACATCATTAATCCACATCTGTAAAGTAACTAAAATAAATGTAGTGGAGTAAAAACACCACGTTAACCTTAAAGAAAGCCCTCAGGATTATAAAAGACCCCCATCACCCCAGCCACAAACTGTTCTGTCTGCTGCCGTCTGGCAGGCGGTACCGCAGCATCCGGACTAAAACCACCAGACTCAGGGACAGCTTCATCCCACAGGCCAGAAGACTATTAAACACCTGAACTTAGAAACAACATCCATAACATTCATCTGGCTGCTACCTAGAAATTATTTATCTAATATATCATATTCACAATGTAGTGACTGCTTTTTTGTCTTTTGTTTTCTTAGTTATGTTCTCTTTTATATGTGTGTGTTATGTGTTATGTGTAACGTTGCTGCCTTCTTGGCCAGGTCAGCATTGAAAATGAGATTGTATCTCAATGCTTTTATCTGGTTAAATAAAGGTTAAATAAAAATTAAAAAAGATTCCAATCAATCTTGTATATAGACTCTTATTGCACTATTTCACTATTTTTTCTGTGTATCTGTTTTATTGTGTTGCACTGTTGGAGGAGCCTGCAACCTAAGGGGGGGGGGGGGAAAGGACACGTTCGATTCCTGTTTTGAATAGTGTGCCGTCGATGGGTTTCATTCCATTTCAAGGTGCTTTTTGACGCTCCGTGTAAACTTCGCGCACTGCCACTCCAACATCCAATCACAGAGCTTGGGGACTGATCACGGGGTTTGTCAAGCTAAGCACATGGTGTAGTCCCAAACGATAGCTGAGGATTCTGGGTAGTGTAGTGTCTTCTGCCATCCAAAAACTCCGAACAAATATTCGTTTCTCCGAATCGAAGGGGAAAAATACAAAAGCATTGTACACAATTTAAACCAATCAATGTTGTGTAATTAACAAGGATAATCTGGTGTTTTTGAGTTGATGAGTAGTTCAGATATCACTGTAAAATCAATCGACAGTAAAGAGAATACTCACTTCCGGGTGTAAAATTCTCCGTTATCCAATGGGAATGGACGCTCGTAATACAATAAAGGGGACATGATCATTATCTTTTAAATAACGTTAACTAAAGGGAACAATCTATTGACACAGCTGAAGCTCTGGCCTTCCTTAAAAACTAACTAATTTAATAAAAATCACAGTTGTATTACACACAATGCACTGTTTTTTGAGAACAAAAATTCGTAACTAATGCACCATAATACATTCTGACGACAAATACAAATTATTATGAATACAAATAAAATAAAAGAAGCCTCCTGTGAGTTACTACAAGCTATAAAGTAGATTTTAAAAACGTTTTATAGAATAAAAGCTCACTGCGGGACGTTGTAGAAATGCGTGTGTGCACCACGACAAAAGAGCCTCATTCACTTTACATTGGGGTTTTTTGCGTGGTGCCGACACGTAAATGTAGCAGAGTGCGTGACTCCACCACGCAATGTGGTGTTAAGGTTGCGTGGTGGAGTCACGCATTCTGGTGAGATCAGGTTGTAAAATATGCATAAATAAAAAGAAAGAATGCTAAGTACAATTAGATAAGATAATGATATGAGAGAGGAGTTTGTAACACAAACAAGTGTAACTGATTTGTTATTGGTTGTGATCATATTCTAATGATTAACAAAGTCAACTTTATTGTCAATCTCAAAATATGTTTGTACACACAGAAAGATCGTTTAACAACTCACACATTAAAATGCAAGAACACTCAATAATTTACAACAAAAAAACACAAAATAACCGTTTAAGTAAGCAGGATATAAAGAACTTGATGTGCAAAAAGGGAGTACAGTTCTGTTTCATATGAGTGTTGACAGCAAGCGGCAAACTCTGGGGCAGAGCCGGTGTCAGTACCAGATATGTTCGGCCTACCAGATATGTTCGGGTGTATTTCCGTCGCATCCGTCATCCGTCATATCCGTCATATACTCACCTCCCTCTGCTCCCAGCGCTATGCTGCCACACACCGGCCGTCTGCGGAACTGCAGCCGGAGGAACTCGGGACAGCTTGTTATGTGTGAACGATCTAGATCCCTCCGCTTCCCCATAATTACCGCGACCATTTTAACTTTCATGACAGAAATGGAGAGCTTTTATGCTGAGATAAAGCAGTACGTACAATGGTGGTTACCACAATCTCACCATCGCCGCTGAAAAGCATGATAAAAGGAAGGCGTTCATTCGGAGGGCATCCAAACAATACCTGATCAAAGGTAAGTAACAGAATAAGACCATGGTTAAGTCACGAACATACGTTTTTATTATGAGGTATAAACCCCCTGTACATGTGACATCATCACATCCCTTTACTTATAGGGATCAATAAAGTATATATCTATCTATCTATTTATCTAATGGTGTTTTTTGGTGCAAAAGTGATCATACCTCTAATGGTTTATCATATTGCAATTCCAACATTTTTCAGTAAATCGCAAGGACTCCACAGCTTGTTTTCTCCTTTTTCTTTTTATACACACTTTACATTACTGTAGTTGTTACGTCTAAACCACATTTGCCACTGGATTTCTTGAAACAGCTTTTAGTCATAATGTCATCTCTACACATGTCTAAATGATTGTTTTGTTGTTCCTGTTGTGCCAGCTGGAGATTTGTACTACACATACAAGGACAATGAGAGGATGGTTGTGTGCACCAAGGACCAAATTATCAATGTCCTGAAGGAGTGCCATGATAACCTGGGTTCCGGAGGTCATGCAGGGAGAAGGCGCACCACCGAGAAGGTTTTGGCAACGTACCACTGGTCCACTATGCGGGAGGACGTGAAGAAATGGGTGGGAGTTTTTGACTGACTGACTGATTATTGATCTACAGAAATGTGTTGTATGTGTACATTGAAACAGAGTGAGACAGTTTGAGCTCCATCAGAGCAGAGAAAACATATTTCAGAACTTTAACAGTTTAATTCTGTCTCCTCTGAAAGTTTTCTCTGTTCTATCATTTTTATACCTAAAGTTTTTTGTTTTGCTGATTGAAAATGTATGATATTTGCTAAGGTTGATGAGTGTCCCCGCTGCCAGCAACCACGAGGTCATTAAAACGGTTGCACACCCGTACTGCATCCCATTCATGTTCCCGAGGCATGGACTGTCCTTGGTGTGGATCTCATTGGCCCACTTCCCTCCACTGCTAAGGGCAAAAGGTACTATCATGATGGGCTGAAGCATGTGTAACCTCCTTTAAAGGTTCTAAACGTGAAGAATCTGGTTTCAAAAGAAAGGAAATCATTTACAGTGATTCTGTATGTATTTACAACATTCTGCATTTTATATTGCAGATACATTCTAACAGCGACTGATCTGTTCACAAAGTGGGTGGTAGCAAAAACGCTCTACCACAAAACAGCTGTTGAGGTCTCAAAAAAGATTGTAAATATTCTTCTCGATTTCGGTCTTGTCGAGAAGATCATTACTGACCAAGGACGGGAATTTGTCAATGAGGTACAATAATCTATCTAATACAGTGTATGTGTTATGTGTAACAATGTAATACGATTTTTCAGGTAATTTGGTAATTGGTGTACACTAAACCATCTGCAGGTCAACCGTGGTGTTTTTGATGCACTGGGTGTAAAACACTGCATCACTTCAGCGTACCATCCCCAGTGCAATGGCCAAGATGAGCGTACAAACCAAAACATAAAAAAAGCACTTGCAAAGTACTGTGGAGAGGACCAGAATGACTGGGATTTACATCTGAGGGGCATTGTGGCGAGCATTAACACCTCAAAGCAGGTACAATGTTGTAACAAATGCAGATGGAAACAATACTCAACAGAGATACTAAAAGGAATTTTTATGCTTTCAGAGGTCAACCAAGTGCACGCCCTATTTTGCCCAGTTTGGGAGGCACCCTCGCGTCCCGGGTGTTATAAATGCTACAGTCAATGACAGGGATGATACCTCTGTTTTGGTGCCTGCTGATGAGGCAGAACAGCAGCTTGAGGCAAAGGCTGCAACCATTGCAGATTTGCACTCGAAGGTGAGAATAAAATGGCAATATTTAAAACATAATAACTCCTAAAAAATGCAAGCGTATGTTAAGGACTGTAAATGATAACTGTTACATATCTTTCTCAGATTTACCAGAACATCCAAATAGCACAACAGAGACAGAAAATCTCTTTTGAAAAACGCAAGGGAAAGAATGTGAAATCTTTCCTGATTAACGTTGGAGATGAGGTCCTAAGAGCGAATAAGAGGAAGGAGGGCCGAAAGGTGGAAAACTGGAGTGGAGGCGTCTATCGTTTTCTAACCCAGTTTAGATTTAACCACGCCTACTTCCGCATTACGCAAGGATCGACGTTACCGATCGCGATAGCGTCATAGACGCGGCACACCCGCGAAATCTGAATCTGACAAGCGAAATACCATAATATTAATTCCTGATGGATATAAGAGGGATACATTAGCAAACATCTGTATATATAGCCTATATATAATGTTTTGTTTTTTGTTTGTCATGTAACATATTAACGTTTTGACCTTCTGTTTAGGATGTAAAGGTATCTATTTAATATTTTATTTAAAGATAGACATTTATAATATGTTATAAATGTCTATTTTGTTATATAATACAACATATAACATTGGACATAACAGGCATGATTATTACACAGTCAACCCTTATTCAGAGTGCCTAATAAATGTATATATTTTTTTACAGTGCAGATTTTGTTTTTTTTGGGACCATCGCACATGTGTGTATTAACAAGTATGCTGTATAATCTGCAACAACTGTCAGGTGGTGTTATTGATTATCTTTGCAAAAGAGCCCCCACCGATATTGATTTTGAAAAATATCTTTTAATTGAAATATGGGAGCAAAAACAAAAGGGTAGAATTGATCATACCATATTATGTTATTATTATTGCAACTGTTTTATATTGTGTTGTTTATATATATATATGTATGTGTGTGTGTGTGTGTACACATGAATTAATATAAAGTGTATATATGTGAGTGTGTGTATAAATGAATTAATACATCTGTGTGTATACATGAATAAATATGTGTGCGTACATATAAGTGTGTGTTTATATATATATGTTTATAAATGAATAAATGTGTGTATATATCTATGGTATATATATATATAAAATAGTATCATTAAATGATGCTGTCAGATAAATGAAGTACACAGTAATAGTCAAGCTTATATTCAATATTCTGCACTTACACCAGCTGATAAGATATTTAAAACGTCTTTTGTTTGTCCTGAAAACGACATTTGAGGATGCACACAGGCTATTTATAGATGATAAAACACCAGTAATACAATCTCAGGACTCTTCGATATGGCTTTGATTACAGGATCGTTTACTTTCAGTCAACAAAGCCTTTGGAAAGACAAAAAACAACTATTCAATATCCTGCTTTACCGCGACCGCTATAACTGCCGAAGAAGAAGTCTATGACGCTATCGCGTAGAGCTACGTCGATCCTTGCGTAATGCGGAAGTAGGCGTGGTTAAATCTAAACTGGGTTGGAAAAACGATAGACGCAGCCGGGAGGCCAATAAGGAAGTGCCTCAAACTGCAGTTCATCTAGTGGCCAGTAGGAGCAGTCTGCAGAAGGGAGCTATGTCCATAGATGTTAAAATGACCAACTTTACAGCAGAAATAAACATGTTTACATCGTGGTTCAAAAAAACCATATTCTCTGTATACTTAGATTCCCCCTTCGTGACTACTGTGTGGGGGGTGAATTGTTTTATAACGCAACCCTTTAATTATATTAGGTCTTAAACGTTTTTGCATAAATTAGGGCGTGGTCACCTTGAGTGACAGGTCTCTGAAGTGAGTGCTACTTCTAGCTTTCTGTCTCTCTGCTAGCAGCTCCGTCAGCTCAGTAAGCTCCAGGATGCTACAGGGGCTCAACTGCTCGGCTGATCCCGGGAACACAACTTCAACCCGGACGTGTTTGTTTTGTTGGTGCCTGGTGGAGTATTCTTAATTTAAATATCGGACTTATCTTATGGCTTTTGGAGGTTCCGCCTCTTTGCCCTTATTTGGAGCAGGCTGGAGTAGGCGGGAGTTAGACTCTGACGTCACTGTCGACCCGTTAGTGGCCGACACCGCCTACTTTAGGCTTCAGGGCAACTCTACAGAATCCTATGGGTGACTTCACGGACCCTACGTCCATTTATATATACAGTCTATGGTTGAGAGCTGTATCCATAGATCCCTTAATTTTGCCCTCAAAGTGCAGCAGATTGATGCTTTTAACTTCAACATTTGAAAAAAAAAAGGATGTGAGGTCCACCCACAAATAAAACAGGTTCACATGGAAAGGATAATATATACATTATTTCTCTGGGCAAATGTGTGTTTTGGGAACATTTAAAGGTATTTATTTGAGTCCTATAATTGGTTTAAGCCTTTTTTGTGGGCAGTAAGTAAATATGTGAGTGTTTTCCCATGAGATTTTAATATACTGTACAGAATGTTCATGTTGCAACACCATAGTCTCTAAGCGACCTTGAGGTTATAAGCAACCTTGAGGTTATGAAAGGCGCTATATAAATTCAAGTTATTAATATATTTGTAAAAAGGCAGGAAATTAGATTCAAATCGAGAACATTTTTTATTGCGGAGGACCCACAGACCCCCTGTTTTGTGTCCCTCCCACTTCTCAACCCAAAGTTACACTTGTAACTGGAATTGTATTATCACTGGCCCGGAGCATTCGTCCAAAACATCAAAAGAAAATTAACACATTTGTTGCAATAGTAATTTATGCACTAAATACATTACTACTAGTACTACAACATTTGAATCATCAGTTCTTCCTCATTTCCCTCAATTGTTCATATTTGGTTTATTAAAATAATGATATTGTGGTCATTGTTAAAACATGTCTGCTATTATTATGAGTATTATTATTTGTATAATGCGCTTTCTGCCTTCCTGTCATCAGGAGTTAGACATGTAATGGCTATAGATTAGATTAGATCCTTCATTATCCTAAACTGCTGGGACATTTCCCTATAGCCAATACCTTTATATTTTTCTACTCTTCACTTACTTGTCAGCATAGGTCGGCATTGATGTACAGAGCCGACAGAAGACCTTGTTTATATTGGCATCATATTGAGAGGTGCAGTGACGCGTCATAAAACCAGGAAGTAAGCTGCTGGTTTCCTCGACAAAAAGCAATGGGATTTCTCCACAGGGTTTTGGAAAATAGCTGGAAATAAGGTCTGTGGAAAACAAACCTGTTTTATAAATGCACGTTTTGTTCAGCCGGATAATCTCCACATATCTACCCTACTTTTTCGATTCTTAAATCTAATGATAGATTAAAAAAGGGTTTTAGGATGCGTCACTGCACTAGAAGCCAACTCCATCGATCAAGCTGGCTGAAACGTTCTCTCCCTCTTCTTATCATACTCCCTGTCATTCTCCTTTAACTCCTCCGGTGACTTTCTTTTATTTGAAGATAGTTTTTTGCCCGGCGCTTGGCCGGTTACCGCTGGTATTAAAAACATTTTGGCGAATGGTTAGGTGGCACGATAGTCTGTAGTGAAGGAGCGCGCTCCCGCTCACGGGAGCCTGCTCGCGCTGCACTCCGCAGCAAACAGCTGTTTGTTTTTCACCCAACAACGACAACCGACTCACGAAACGCTATGTTGTAGCGTTAATAAACGAAACAATTTAACAAAATTGCTTGTCAAAATACCAATACCACAGGACCATTTTTTTTTTTTTAAGCAATATTTTTAGTGGCCCGAGCGGGCAAGTGGAAAGTAGGCTACGTTATGCTGGCCCGGGGTGTCTAAATAGTGCTTCCGGGCCAGCGGGCCATTTATAATGTCGAGCCCTGCTTGAGATAGCCACAACTAGGGCTGAACGATTTTTTTTTCTTGTGTGTCAGTCATCCACACCAATCAGAAGTGCTGTGCTCCACATGTACCATCCATTGTTAATCAATCAGAAGTGGCCCATGATAGAAGGTGATAGACAGATAGATCCAATCACCTGCCAAGTGCTTTTGAAAGTGCCTGCCCTTTCCAAATGGCTTCCTATGGCGCTTTCATAGATGGTTCAGTAAAACAAAGCATCTGAGTCAGGTTAGTAATGCTCCATCACATGTTTCTATTACAGGTTGAATCTTAAACTGAAGCTTGACTTTAAAGCAACCCAATGAAAGGTTCATGTAAGTTTAGTTCTTTCACTCGTAGCTCGGGCTGCGGGGGTGCTAGAGACGGGAGTATGTTGATACGACCTTCCTAGCCGGAGTTATGGCCACATTTTACAATAAACTTACGTTGGGTCGCTTAAAAACAAATATCGCAATTCGAATCGCAATATTTGTCAGAAAAATTGCAATTAGATTTTTTCCCAAAATCGTGCAGCCCTAGCCCCAACATCTGGAGACACTGAATCACTTGTCTGACCCTTAGGCTCGAAGCCAGCGTTCTCACAATCATAAACCATTTGTGACGGAGAGTTGCCCGGTCATAAACTGGGAATATCAACATATAGCTGAGGCCTCCCATTCCTTAAGAGAGATAACAGAGTCAGGGTTGGGCATAAACGTCAACAGGCAAAAAGGTTAAATATCTTAGGAGTAAAGGAGAATTATTCTCTAACAAAAAGTATGATTTTCTTTCAGGAAAATGTGACGATGTAGCCTGAAGTCTTCTCCGGCTGTAACCCTCCCCTTTGATGAAGACACCTGAACTTTAAAATAACCAATGTGAGAGAATATAACTGCCAAGAAGTATATCTAAATGTCATTCACAACGTTCATTCGACCAGGGAAACTCATGAAAGGATTTTTTTTCTTTTTAATTAAATCTTTGCAGGATCACAGCTTTGTTTGCTGAGACACCTTTAACGTTAGGGTAGGTAAGAATGGAGAAATAACCAATTTGAAATCTGCCCCTTCCTTCAGACTTCCTTACAGAGCCCCTCCTCCAACACACACGAACGCGCACATGACCAATGAGGGCACGAGATAAGTTTGTGCACAGATGGAAGGCTGACAGGCAGGTAGGCCATCCAGTTACTTTAGCCGGCTCAGATGATTGGTCGTGCTTTTTACAGCACCACGGCTTCCAGAGATGACATTTTGTTATGTATTTATTGTCAAAGCATTTCATATATTCATTGCTATCGGGACGTTAAGAGCATTCCATGGAATATAACAAAAAGTGTATCTGAAGTGAATTACCTACCCTACTTTTAAAATTCCAATACTCAACTTTT